CCAGCACCACAATGGCGCGTCCCCAGGCGCCCAGTCCCCTCCGGATCGCGACCACCCGAATCGTGGGGACCCCGGGCAGCCCCGACGTGGGCAGCTCCAGCCCTGCTGGGCAAAACTCCCCGGAGTTTTGCTTCCGGCATCCGCCGGCCTCTTCCAAGGGGAAGAAAGTAGCACCCCGGGGAAGCAGCACCCCCCTGACCCCCTCTCACCCTTTTTGAACTCCTCCAGCATGGCGTCCAGCTTGGTGTCGTGGAAGACGACGTGGACGGGGTGGTTGTAGAATTTGGTGATGGTTTTGAGGGGGGTGCAGTCGTCTGGGTCGACGAAAGCCAGGTCTTTGACGTAGAGGATGTCCATGATGTTGGAACGCTCGTCCTCATAGACGGGGATGCGGGTGTAGCCGCTCTCCATGATTTCCGACATGGTGTTGAAGTCCAGGATGGCGTCACTGTTGATCATGAAGCAGTTCTGCAGCGGGGTCATCACGTCCTCCACTGTCTTGGTGCGGAGCTCCAGGGCCCCTTGGATCATGTTAAGCTCTTCCCTCACCAGGTCGTTGTAGGGTTCCGTCACCTTCAACATCTCCACCAGCTTCTCCCGGTTGTAGACGGTGCCGATCTCCTGACCCAGGATGCAGTCGAGGAGTTTGCTGATGGGGTAGGAGAGGGGGAACGTCACCAACATGAAGAACTTGGTGACCACGATGGTGTTGGCGCCCACGGCCAAGCCGTGGCGGGAGCAGAGCGCCTGGGGCACGATCTCCCCGAAGATGACGATGCCGATAGTGGAAGCGACGACGGCGCCGATGCCGGAGCCGATGAGATCATCGAGGAGGATGGTGAGGGTGGTGTTAACCAGCACGTTACCCAGCAGCAGGGAACAGAGCAAATAGTTCCCCTTACGGCGGATGGGTTCGATCTTACGGGCGTAACGCTTCTCCTTATCGGTGCCGCAGTTCTGCACGATGCGCAGCTCCATGGGATCCAGCGCCATGAGGCCCAGGTTGAGCCCGCTGAACATCCCCGACAGCACCAACAACCCGGCGATGAGAATCACCTGCAGCCAAAGGGGCAAGAGCGATTTTTTCTCCTCCAACACCACG